GTCGGACGCTTAACCGACTGAGCCACCCAGGCGCCCCTTCAAATGCTTCTTAAATAGTTACTTATTTATTATTTCAGCTTCTCTTTACAGTTAAGGGAAGACACACATTGCCTTTTTGATTTCCCAGATAGGGAAGCTGAGTTCCAGAATGGGATTAATATCATACCTGATCTACACTGTCTGCTTTTAAGTCTGTTCCCAATTTACTTGTTCTCCTTCTTTTTGCCTTCAGGATTCAGCTGCGCTCCTGTCTTTCCAAAACTATTTCTAAACTTTCTATCCCCATGTAATATATCCAGAAGGTTGGTTATTTGTTAGAGAAAGGTAAACTTGAAAGAATCCAGTTCCCAACGCCAAGTCCTGGTTTTCAGTTGATTTGACTTAAAGAAGATTTGGAGACTTTCCTTTTTAAAATGTACTTTAATGGAATAAAAGAATGGAAGATAGAATAGGAATCCTATGATATCAAAACTGGAAAGGACCTTCCAGTTCATCTTGTCCGACACCCTTATGGATACAGAAACTGAAGCCCATAGAGCCCCAGTTACTTTTCTAGGCTCTCTGAGCTCTCTTGACATTATTCTTATCATTTTGTGACTCTGAGAGTCTTAACATAGAAGGAACAAGAGGAACCAGTTTGTCATAATGGTGCAGATACACAGATAATGTGAGGAAGATTTATGTTTGCAATGATATGGCCAATCTGCAATTCCCAGTTTGGTCATGAAGGTCTAAAAAGGCCATACAGAGTATATCAACTTGGAGTATCTCTGGTTAAAGGTAGCCTACAAGTAAATACAAAAAAAATGGTTTTCAGGCCATCTTCGAAGGAGAAGCCTTGTAGCATAGTGGTTAAGAAAGAAGATGGCAGAAAGAAAGGAAAGGAAAGGAAAGGAAAGGAAAGGAAAGGAAAGGAAAGGAAAGGAAAGGAAAGGAAAGGAAAGGAAAGGAAAAGAAGGGGAGGAGAAAGGGAAGGGAAGAAAAGAAAAAGAAAGAGAAAAAGAAAATGAAAGAAAAGAAAGACTGCTGGACCGGAATTCCTAAAATCAAATTCTGGCTCTATACTTACCCACTGTGTGAACATAGGGAAGAGCTCTGTGCTTCAGCTTCCCCTTCTGTAAAATAGGGATTACTATATAGTACCTGTTTTATAAGGTTCCTGGTAGATTTCATGAATTAATACCTATAAAGTACTTAGAACAGAATGTGGTACATAGTGAGCACTCAATAACTGTTAGTTATTATTAGTCATAAAATTGCTTAAGTCAGCAAAAAGGCCTCCTTCCTGTACTGAGCCAGTGTGCATGTTGTTGAATTATTTCCCACTAGAAATACTCCTTGGACATCATAGGTGGTGGAAGTAGCACAGACATCTTTTTTTGTGGCTATACATGCTTATTCCTAGTGCCCAGAACAAACTTCCAGCTTCCAAGAGAGAAAGGCAGAGAGAGCCACAGTTAGGCTCAAGTGCAATCGAGCCAATTTAAGTATGTATAATGGTGAGGTGTCTTGACATCTGACTCTATTTCCTTGCCTGACCCTGGCATGAGGCTGCCAAGATACCACCTTCTCCAGGGTTCCAAAAGATACTGTTTTGTAAATGTTCCATTGTTTTTTTGAGTAAAGGAGATTTTGAAAAATTGGAATTCTGTATGTGTCTGCTTGGTGTGACACCTTCCAGAGCTGATAGGGACCCTAGATCAGACTCTCTAGGCTGCTTTATAAGGTTCCTGGTAGAACCAGGTTCCATTCTTTAGGTGACTTTTCTGCTTTAAACTTGTCATTTTTTTCTATAGGCCAGGAACCATAACTTTGCAAGCTCTTTCGGAAGCTAACAGAAGGCTATGGATGGAAGCCATGGATGGAAAAGAACCTGTAAGTTACATGAGGACACTGTAGAAACTTAGCAATATAGTCCAATGTATGAGTACCCTTAGTGGTACTAGTGGGTCTAGGACATTTAAAGAGTCAGATCTTCAGACTCAAAATTTTAGAGTTAGAAGGAATTGTTTACTCAACATTTTTTGTTTAAAAAGTAAGGCAATTTGAGTTCCATAGAGGATGAGGGACTTCTCTAGGATTACTATCTGAAAAGACATAAAAATTGGGCCTAGATAGAATCCAGGTTTCTTAGCTGCTTGCTTCAGTGTTAGATTATGCAGCTGTGCCTACAAGATCTTCTTAAAGAAAAGTAAGCCCTTTTGTCAGTTTATAAAATTAATGTGTTCATATAGAAAGGTGGAAAATAATTTTCATAACTGTGAATAAGGATTTATTAAGATTTTATTCAAAACAGTTTTGCTGCCCCTATTTTACATTCCCATGTCAGCTTACTCTCTTTAAGGGTACAGCTGTTGGAGAAGATGGTGCTACCATCCTATATCCCAAGATGTACCACTCCATTTAGAACATTGTTACACAGGAGGACAAGCAATACCTTAAAGGGTTTAGTGATTGTCATAGAAAGACCAATCTGAAGAGTCAGAAATTCCTGAAGAGAGTTTTTTTTTCTTCAGTATCTTCCAAGTAAATTTCTTCTAGTGGTGTATGAAATAATATTAGCTTCCTACTGTTAGATTTACAAAAGACTGAATTTGGATCCCAGTTGTGCCATCAGTGGTGGTGTGACTTTGGGCAAGGTATTCTATCTCTCTGAGACTCAGTTTTCTTCTCTTCAGTAAAAAGGGTTGAATCATCTCCATTCTATCTACCTCACAGAGTTGCTTTGAAAAATTGAATGAATGGAAGTGGGATAAAGAAGGAGTGTGAAGCTACTGAGATTCCATAGTATTTGTGTACAGTCTAATATCTTTGTTTTGTTCAAGGCAAAAATGTGCTAAGAGGGAAAATACTCCAAGATTTTCTTTCTGTGTCTCCTTGGTGCCCTGGAAACTAAAGAGAAGTGCACAGATTTCAGAATGTACTTGTAGCAACCAAGAAGGTAGCAAAGAGAGAAGGGGTGTTATGAGGATTGTCATACAGGAAGTAGCCCATGACCTGTGGCTCCTCCCTCCTTCCCAGAAGATTGGAGCTTAACTATTGCATGCCTGTGATGTTTCTCGAGGAAGATGGTAGCAGGCTCAGTGAAACATTTTATTCTTGATTCCGTCATTGGAACTTGTTCTCCCTTTAAGTTTTAAAAATCGAAGGATGCAGATGGCTTTTTGTGGAGAATGATATTAGAACATGGGTCCACTGAATGTGGATCCTTAACAACTCAATTATGCTAGACTTTTCACAAATAACTTGTTTATAAAAGTGGCAGCAAGGGCTTCCCAGAACAGAAATCTCTCTCATTGAAATATCCATGGGTATACACATATATGCAGAAAGTTTTCTCTTAAAAGAAGAGATTGTTAAAGTGGACTCTAACAGATACCGTACAGAAGGTTTATTTCCTGAAGTTTCACATTGTTATTGTTGCTGCCTTGCTAAACACCCCATTTCACTAATTTTATACATGATATGCATGCCTTTGCTTAAAGTATCACAGAAGATTAGGACTTTAAGGAACATCTACTCCAACTCAAATCATTTTAGAGATATGAAATTTGAAGAATAGAGAATGAAAAGGACATGCCCAAGATTTTATAATGAATTAGAGGTAGAGCCAGGCTAGACTTCAAGAGTCAAGGATCTCCTGTTTGGCCTCTCACATAGCTATCATGATGTGTATTTCACGATAACTCAAAGAAATCTTGGTCAGTGTGTGGATCTCTTTCAGACAGACACTTGCTTTTCTACAGAGAAATACCCATTAATTAGCCTTTGGGGTAGGAGGTTGGTATTGGGCACATTTAAATTTTACCATCAATGCCCACTACCCAGGTCCCATAAGAAGACTGTTTCTCTTGCTCTATCAGAAAAATTCTCCAAGTTTTACATAAGTAAATCTCTAAAATAGGTAGGCAACAACTTCAGCTACAGTGAGCTACATGGAATCTAGTTTAGTCTTCAGATTTGTTAAATCAGTTGTTTTCTAGGGACCTAGTCAAAGATGATTCTGTTTAGCCCACTTTTCCATTAAAGCCTTAGAGTCACTAATGGTTTTGATGGACTTTCTGGGGAAAGAGAGTTAGTATTATTTGCTGTACTTACCTATAGTGATTCACAATAGACATGGCTCTTTCTTTCTCTTCTTTTGTAGATATACCACAGCCCCATAACAAAACAGGAAGAAAGTGAGTCAAATTTACAATCTATTGACATTACAAACTGCCAGTTTTCCTATCATCTGTGATATGTAATATTGATTCAAGTGTGTTTATGGATGCAACTGTGTGGAGTAGAATTCAGACCTATTTTTTTAAAATATGTCTACTTATTGAAATAAGGAAGTCATTTTATCTTGGCTTATGTTGTGGGCAGTAATATTAATATAGAGAAGAACATTATCTCTTTCTTGTTCTAAACACATGATAGAAATTATGTGCATTTCTAGCCTACCATTTCACGTTTGATGTTGCTACTACCTAAAACAAACATAATGCAAAGGGATAATTAAAGCATTTTGTGTAATAAGAGTAAAAACTCTAAGTTCCCCCTGAATACAAAGACCTTTCCATTTAAGAGTATTGGAGATGAAAAACCATACCCCTTATTCTCTCACTGCAGTCTCCTAACATGATCAATAAATACTTGGTCGGTAAAGCTTATTATAGTGGATCTAACTTTGTTTTCCTTTATTTGAAACAGTGGAGCTGAATGACATAGGGTTCAAGTTTGTTAGAAAGTGCATCAATGTCATTGAGACAAAAGGTAAGATTTGAACCGGAGTATTGGCAGTGTTTGAATCTGGTCACTCTGAATTTATCCTGGGTCAATTTCTTGAAGGTAGCAATGATGTCATTTATTGTTCAGGACTCATTTTAGGAATGAAGACTATATACCTTGAACACTAGACACAAATTTGTAAAATTCCAGCAAGTTCCAAACCAGTGGTATCCAAGCATATTGGAATAATTTGTGGTTTCCTCCTTTTAAAGAGAAATAGCTTAATTAATCAAATGGTACACAGTTCTAAGTTATACAAGAGATCTGCTGTACAGCATAAAGCTATAGTTAATAATACTGTATTGCAGGGGCGCCTGGGTGGCTCAGTCGGTTGAGCGTCCGACTTCGGCTCAGGTCATGATTTCACGGTCTGTGAGTTCGAGCCCCGCGTGGGGCTCTGTACTGACAGCTCAGAGCCTGGAGCCTGCTTCAGATTCTGTGTCTCCCTCTCTCTCTGACCCTCCCCCATTCATGCTCTGTCTTTCTCTGTCTCAAAAATAAATAAACATTAAAAAAATAATACTGTATTGCAGACTTAAATGTGCTAAGATGGTAGATTTTGTATTGAGTTCTTATTGGAAAAAATACTAAAGAAAAAAGAGGACAGCAGAAAACTTTTAGAGGTGATAGATATGTTTATGCATAGATTATGGTGATGGTTTCATTTATCTCCAAACTCACCAAGTTATATCTATTAAATATGTACAGCTTCTTGTATTTCGAAAACAAGGCAAAGAGCTTCAAATGGCTTTTAAAGTATTCTGAACTACTAATGGGCACTCCTCAAGTAGTGTTATGATGGTTCCATCACAAATAAATAAGAGTTCAATTTCTGCCATAATACATATTGATTTAAAAATTTCTGGCTAAATGGGTGATGGGCATTAAGGAGGGCATTTGTTGGGATGAGCACTGAGTGTTATATGTTAAGTGGTGAATCGCTAGGTTCTATTCCTGAAACCAACACTATACTCTATGTTAACTAACTTGAATTTCAATAAATAAATTTTAAAAAATTGATGGGGTGCAAAGCTTAACTCAGACAAATGGGGAATCAGTGTTTTTCCATGTTCATGATACTCTCTAGATTCTCTCTGAGAATATTTAGAATGTGGGCATGTAGTATATGAGCCAAGCCTCTTTTTTTCCTTGAAATGTTGCTTTAATCTTTCCCCATACACAAAATAGCCTTTTGTTTCACATTTGCCATAGTTCAGGCCTTTCTTCCTTTATATTGCTGCTCATGGGCAGCTTGATGATTGATATTTCCTCCTTTTTCAGTTAAACTCTAGCTCCTTTCCAAGATGGCAGCACTATTCTCAGCCATCTGCTGCTATCAAACTAAGCATATTTTTCTATTTACTAGAGTGTATATTCTCTTCTGTTCACACTAATGAAACCTCCGTATAATCCAAATGAAAGTATGGAGAGAATAATTTGGAGAGCTGCTTCAAAACTGGCCCCCTATTGCAGGGGAGGGCTAGAAAGCTAGGAGAGAGTAGGGAGACCCTTTCTTGTTTGAACTGATGCCAGGGTGAAAGTACCTACTTTTTCTACCTAGAGGGAAATGAAAGCTCTAGCTGTATAAACAAAACTGACCTGATTTTCTTTTCCCTAGGGATCAAGACAGAAGGATTGTACCGTACTGTGGGCAGCAATATCCAGGTTCAGAAGCTGCTGAATGCCTTTTTTGGTAACAAATTAATTTCATTATTCTCATTGGAAATTGTGTATTGAAAGAAATGTGACTATAAAAGAAATGAGACATTGCTTAGCAATGGTTGTAGAATGTTTTAAAAATATTTTCAAAGGAGAAATGTACACATATTTGCCAATCCTGTGTCAGAGACAATCTTGCCTTGAAGAAACAACTAGCATCTCTTCTCCACATCATACTCACTCATCAAAGCCTTTGCAATCTGGCTTCTACCCCAGCCTCTCCACTGAAAATATTTTCACCAGGCTTAGAAGGTATCATCTGTGAAATCTAGGGGACAATTTTCAGTTTCTATCTTGCTTGATCTCCTTGTTGACCACTCCCTCCTTTTTGTAGCTTTCTCCCTATGTGACTTCTGTGACTCAACATCTTTTGATTTTTCTAAAATCTTCTATGAAACCTTTCAAGTGACTCTTGTCAGCTCCTTTTTATTCTTCCCATCTTCTCAATCTTGTCTGGGTATTTTCAAGCATTCCATCTCTGTCCCCCTTTACTTCTTCTACATGTTTTCCTAATGAATAAATATTAACCTGGTTATCTGTCACATTTTTTTCAATTTTGTATGTCTAGTAATTTTTTTAACTTTCAAAATTCCAGTTAACATACAGTGTAATATTAGTTTCACGTGCATAATATAGTGATTCAACACTTCCATACACAAGTATACTCATTAATCACAAGTGTACTCATTAATCCCATCACCTATTTCACCCATCCCCCCACGCACCTCCCTTCTAAAAACCATTACTTTGTTTTCTATAGTTAAGAATCTGTTTCTTGGTTTGCCTCTCTGGTTTTCCCGCTATGCTCTTTTGTTTGGTTTCTTAAATTGCACATATGAGTGACAACATATGGTATTTGTCTTTCTCTGACTGACTTACTTTGCTTAGCA